CTATTTAACAGCTTTTTCGATAACAGTGATTTTGTCTTTTCGGACACTATTTTCATCATTCAATTCCTATCGAATACACCTCCTTGTTTGTCTTATTGCTGTTTCTCTCTTTCATCCGGTTTTTCCTTCATGTGTTTAGGTGGGGTGTATTAATTTGAAATGACGCCCTCTTATATAACATTTTATACTGATATGAGTTAGAGAACCACTAAAAACCAGGGAGTACTGGATAGCTACTTCATCCTAGTTTGGGATTCATCAGCAGCACGCACCCAACACCGGGGCTCGAACCCAGGATCTTCCGGTTACCAGGCAATCTCGTATACCGTCCAGCCATTGGGTTCGAAACCCAGTGGGTGCGTACTGCCAATGAATCCTAAACTAGGACGAAACAGCTGTCCAGTACTCCCAGTTGGTTTTCAATGGTTCTTTAATTGATATCAATCTGTGGTCTAACCTGAAACAGATAGAATCCCTACAAACTAATTATAGAAAACTGATTTATATGTTTCTTTTATTTTTATTTTTTTATTTTTATTACAGCTTGATGCCACACCGTATTTTCAGTACAAGTATGGAATTTTCAGCATGGATATCGGTAGCCCAAATTCAGGCCGACCATAGATATCGGGTGTGCGCCGGCAGGGGATCGAACCCCGGACCATGTGCATAGTCGGCGAGAGTCCTAACCACTGTGCCACCGACGCACCAGTTTATTGACAGAAGAGTAACGTAGAGAAATACTTCAGGGGAATAACCATATCAAATCGAAAATAAACTGGGCGAAATTAAGCAGACGATAGTGGATAGAACAAGAAAGACAGCATCCAACGATGCGACACCATGGTCACCATGCTAAGCTGCTCGGCACCATATTTGGAGGCGAACGGCAGGAAGCTGTCTTTGAACACAGCACTGGGTGACCTGGGTTCGACCCTCAGAACGGGACATCAATTCCTTCAAGATTGAAGATACGCCTTGCTGACTGGTGAGTGACAACAAGCACATAACTTTGGTCCGAAGGCTTCCTCCAGCTGATTATGTCCAAATATCTAACAATAAAACAATTCTATATTACAGAATCATTACGAGTACGTGGAACGTGTTCACATACACACATACAAAACAGTGTAAAGCTTCATAGAATTAAATGGACACAGCCTAGTATGTGAAGTCAAAAAGCAAATCTACTTTCGTGTTTTTTATAGGCTATATAATAAATTCCATCATTTAAGAAATATTTATCAACATCGCATGCATACCTTAGTATGCAGCAGCAGCACGTTAGAACTGGTTTGGTTTACTTCACAAAATCAATTTCTAAGATCAACAACAACAACAACAACAGTGATGGTGATAATAATAAATCACTAAGATGAAAAAAGTCTGACTAGAGCATAAATTAGTATAATTAGTGGACAATATACGATTTTACTATAGAGAACAAAGTTTATGCAAGACAATCATATACATTTGCCAGGATGAATGACGCAAAGTGTACAGAGAGTAATTATTTTCTCTTTACGATGAAGGAAAAAAAAATACAAAAACAAACAGTGTACACTAGAATAGAAACAAGAGACTTTCGATATGAAGGGAATTTTATTTCTTTTGAATAGGAACATGGGACTTCAAGCTACAGGCTTGAAGTTTCAGTAGCAGTGTTTATTTTTACGGGATGCGGTTGCTAGCCTCATGCCTACACCTAACCTTCCCTCTCTACCAGTCTTATTACTGGCTTAGTGAGGGAAAGGACTGGCGTCGGTGGCCGGGGATTGAACCCTGAACCACACGAGGCGTGGTTGGCGAGCACTCTACCGCTGTGCCACCAGCGCACGCAAAACACTTACTTTTCTTCCAAAGACTATGCATCTTTGGGTAGTGATAAACAATGGCAAACAAGACATCGGTAAACAAAAATGACAGGCATCCATTAAAATAAAAGAGGTAGTTAGGAAGATAAGGGAGATACGTACAAGTCAATTTTTCCCATAACACAGAGATTAATTAGCAGGAAAGGATTGAATATCATAATGATGAGAGAATTCGTGTGTTATCACATGGGTGGATTTTCCAGCTAAGATCTTTGATAGATGATACCTAACATGTGAAATAAAGCTTAAATGACAACACTTAACTTAGAAATGTAGTTTGTACCAAGCGTTGATAATATCAACTCTGAGTCTGTCTACTGCTTATTTCTCTTAACCTCATTATCCTTCAGATAACAGCAAGCAATGACGTATACAGTGAATAACATGCAGTAAGAAGTGTATCATCAATATCTATCATTAAATATTATCGAGACTTCCCCATTAGACGTATTTTCCACAAAGGGACTTATGCAACAAAGATATAATAACAAGTATCCAGAAGATATATGTATCTCTTTCCTGTATCTCTATCCCTCCAACATGAAGAACATCATACATTTTCCATAAAAGGCAATAAAAAGTTTAATAGCCCCTGATGTGAGTGGTAGAACTCCCGTGTGGTCTAGGGGTGATTCTCGCCTGAGGCACTCCTAACCATCGCCCAACCGATGATAATCCCAGTAAAAGAGGAGAGGTTGGACGTGAGGCCAGAAATCTCACCACATAAAAACACCACTTCAAGCCAAAGCTTGAAGCCCTACGTTTCATTCGGAACGCACAGGAATGAAATGATGTGAACGGTTCTAAATGGGAGAAAAACTTGATATGAAATAACAAAATAAATTAAAATATGTGTTCCCCTTATTTTATTTAATCTTTCTAACAAAAATAAGGAGTTTTTGTATTTCCCAATGAATGAAAAACAAAAACGATATTGTTGTTTTCACTGACGTTTCGCTATTTAATGCTGCTGCTAATAGCTTCATGAAAGCATTATTATTAAACCAGAATTTACAAAATCTCAGCTTATATATAACAACTAACTTAATCATCATCGTTCATCAGCATGGGATAATTTTCACGTTTTCAAGTTGGCCAATTGGTGAAGATAGCAAAGCGAAGTGTAGACTGTTGGATTTGATACGTGTATAAAAGGACACTCAAAATGTTATAAAAGATTCACATGAGTTCAAATCCAAAATAAAACGCCGAGAAATTCATCAAGACGATATTATGGTAAGCCATGATATTAACAGTCATTATATACTAGTATTCCCATTACCGAAAGTTTTGATATCATTTTCAGTTTACTAGAATCAGATACAACCCTATCACAAAGATGTCCACTGGACACCAGTGAAATAATTAAGAGCTTGAAATTCTGTTTAGAAAGTAATTATTTTACATTTAAAGGGAATTTATATAGACAGACAAATGGCGTTGCTATGGTTTCGACAGTTTTCCCAATAGTGGCTGATCATTTTATGAATAGATTCGAAGATAACATCTTTTCATGCATACTCACACCTAAAATATGCTTAAGATACTTTGATGATACTTTGGTTGCACTAAAACGAGATCTACACCATTCATTCTTGGAGAAACTGAACAATCTATCTCCCAGCATTTAGTTTACCTCGGAAGCAGAATCAGCCGCCGGTGAACTACCATTTCTAGACTGCCTAGTTAAAAGGAGGGAAAACGGATATTTTAATATATCTATATTCAGGAAGAAAACCCATTCAAACAAATATTTAGATTTCGGATCATCACACCCCATCAGCGCAAAAGTATCAGTTGTTTCAAGTCTTCGTAGACAAGCACCCATTTTAGCAACGGATGAGAAGGGAAAAGAAGAAATACCAAACATTACTGAGACTCTCAAGAAAAATAACTACACAAAGAACTTCAACAAAATCAACACCGACATTAAATATGGTCGAAAACCTATTCCGAAGACATGGGATTCAACAACTGTCATTCCGTAAAGATCAGAAACGTCAGACTATATCAGAAGAATACTCAATAAGCTCGACATCAGAGTTTTCTTAAAAACATCAGACACACACACATACAAAGCAACCTCGTCCATGTAAAACATCAAATCCATAAGGATTCTCAATCGAAATGTACAGTATGTAATGTAACAATATACATCGGACAAACATCGCCAGGGAGAAATCAAAATCAGAAGAAATGAACTCCGTAGAGCCGCCTCTGTTCGACCACCGAGAAATCCAGTTAGTGAACTAGAAAAGCTTGGAAAATCATCAGCCATAGGTCATCTACACACTATGCTATAGAATCAGGTCACAAAATTGATTTTGACAATCTTGAAATAATCCAGAAAAATTTCAGAAATCACAAAGACGTCTGATCATCAGAAGCCAGCTCTTCCTATCAAATGGAATCCAAATTGTCTGATGAATAGGAATGATGGACTAAAACAGAATTTCACTTGGTTACAACAATCCCTTCTCACCCCATGAAATGACAAAATCAACACGAATGTCATCGGCAATTTCATTATGTAAACACATGATGGTTTTATAATTTTATACACTTATCAAATCCAACAATCTACACTTCGCTTTGTTATCTTTACCAATTGGCCAACTTGACAACGTGAAAATTATCCCATGCTGATGAACGATGATGATTAAGTTAGTTGTTATATATAAGCTGAGATTTTGTAAATTCTGGTTTAATAATAATACTTTCATGAAGCTATTAGCATTAGCATTAAATAGCGAAGCGTCAGTGAAAACAAGAATATCCTTTTATTTTTCATTCACTGTGCGTCGGTGGCACAGCGGTTATGACTCACGCCGATCATGCACATAGTCCGGGGTTCGATCCCCTGCCGACGCACACCTGATATTTATGGTCGGCCTGCAAAATTTGGGCTACCGATATCACATGCTGAAAATTCCATACCTCTACCAAAAATACGGTGTGGATTAGAGCTGCAATCAAAAATTTTAAAAATATCGTATACCCAACGCCGAAATTTTTTTCAAACTGTTCAAAGTGAACTTGGTTAGGGACATATAAAAATAAGTAGAATTAAAAAGAGAATTTTATGTCCAGAAAAATAAATAAATAAAAGAAAGATACACAACTCACCTTGACACATAGACTGCACACCATTTGATAGAAGAAATCTAATTCATCTGAACACGATTCTTCAGTAGTTAGTCCATTCTTACTGTATTCTGTATTCATTTTATTCAGATTTGTTGAACTATCATAATTAGCATTTGTATCATTATTCTTTTTACCATAGACTAATCCATAAAAAATGTTCACGCCATTACGGATAAGAATACTGTCTTTAAGAAATGATAGTGATGACTATTCGCCCCCCCCCCCCCACGCCGCATAGGTCAAGTGATAAATACAAACAAGAGGAGGAAAGAAAAGAGAGAAAAAAGGAAGAAGACGCTAGATAGATCAAATAATTATTCTAATATGACAACAACAAAAAACTTCTTAGTGTTGAATCACAAGGGGTGGAAAACAAAGTCACGAGGAAATTACTTAACACCTTAGCCAATAAAAAGACAGTCAGTTCAATATTAATTGTATGTTAGTCGATAGACATGCAATAACTGTGATTTGCATGACGTTTAGCTATTGGGTCAAACACTCTACCTAACTGCTATTCATTCAATGACAAAGTTATTGTAATCTGTTGAAACTAGAAGTGTAGTACTTCTTAATCTAAATCGATTTTGTGAAGGGCATTATTATATTATTGTTGAACAATTGTTCAAAGGTAAGTCATGAATTACAGTTTTATATTTTGATTGGACACTAGTAACTAGTGTGACGTGTCTAGTTCTTTCTTTGGTACAGACTGAATTCTCTCAGTCAGGTTTGCAATGTGGACACCATTCTAGGTAGCCCGCCATCACGGTGCACATTGATTTGATGATATTAGATAGTTCGAGGCAATCGGCAGGAAACCTTGCCCCTAGATTTCGTGCTAGTTGACACTCGTCCTGCTAACTGCCTCCAACCATCTAATATCGTCAAATCAATGTCCACCGTGATGACGAGCTACCTAGAATGGTGGCCATATTGCAAAATCTGACTGAAAGAATTCAGTCTGCACCAAACAAAGGACTAGACACGTCACACTAGTTACTAGTGTCCAATCAAAATACCCACTACAGTCCTACAGGAGGTTAATCGCGAGCCCGAATAGCTCAGTGGTAACGTCTCCGACTGTAGCACTGAGTGACGCGGGTTCGAATCTCAAAAGAGACATAACTTCCTTCAAGGTTGCAGATACGCCTTGCTGACTGGTGAGTTCCAACTAGCACGAAACCTAGGTCCAAGGCTTTCTGTGGCCGATTGCCTCCAACTATCTAATATCATCAAATTATAGTTTTATTTACACCAACCAGTGTTAGCGATTCTCTACATCCAACAACAATTTCTTTATTCACCGATCATCAAGTGAACTTGGCAGTGATGCGTACCAAATGTGTAAGGATAGATGATACTGCTCATCTGTGCAAATATCAGAAAGTGGGTTGACTTCCGAACCCTTTGCCCATTGATTAGAAGTAGAATAAAAGGACCATTGACCAGCAGTTCTATAGAATCCTTATTACGCCTCACACACACACACACACAATTAATGATTACGTAATGGTGAATTGGACGGATCGCCGTATTCTGTATGGTTTGTTGATTAAATGATGTTCATTCAAACAACAAGAGTAAGAGCATTTTAAGCAATACAAGCGTGTGGAGATACAAGTAACTGGAATAGGCGTCCTATTTTCAACCCACAGGTATGGAATTTAAACCCCCAATCTATCTACTCCAACCTGGAGAACACGGCACTACATAATCTGGTACTAAGCGGTAGAGTTGTATTGTTCATATATTACAATTACAAAACATACACATAAAATTGAGAGAAGTGAGGAAAAAAGTTTTTCATGAGTATTCTTATAACCGAAATAAAACTCTTTCTAAACCAGATTAAGGAACTACAATTCGTCATACGTCTTAATGACACACAACTCATCCAGATTTACGCTATTAAGTAAGTGAACAAAAAGCAAATGAGTGTCCATAATCCTCTTTTCAACTAAACAATACCACACTTCAGATACTTTGTCATAATAATAACGCAAAAATCCATCTATCCTACTTTCACTTAATATCTGAAGTCTTATGATATTTCTCAGCTGCTTATACTGAGTTATTCTGAAATAATAAGGAAACTTTATAGCTCAGGTGGATGATTTTGATATAGCCGCATTCATAAAAAATGCCTAAACTCAAATCGAACTACCAACAAGAAACCGGCCTCAGAAATTACAAGAAAATTCATCCTACTATGTATATATATAAAGAATGTTTCTGAAATAACAGCTAAGCTACTTAAATCATTGGAAATAGATATAGCACAAAAACCAACACAATCACTTCATTCAATAGTAGTATGCATACCTAGCAGCAAAAGAAGACAAGATTAACACTATCTACAAAATAAATTGCATGGACCGTGATAAGCACTGAATTGACGACCACCGTTCGACTCCGAAACCAAGAACATAAACTAACTATCAAAAGACACGATATGTATTCTTTCACATATCGATGCGCATGTAGACAACTATGAACACCAATTTGATGATTGGGAAATGTAGAAATTGTAAACAGGAGAAACATCACAAATGCCAGGGACTTCCCAGACGCCTGATACTCAGACAGGTTAGCGATTAAGAGACAATACTATAGATGAAGTTTATCAGCTAATAAGGAACGAGCCACAGAACAGAAAAGTCAAATTTCACTTTAATCAAAAGCGATCAATAGTCATTCAGATTAATAACCAATCACGACAAAGGTTGTCAGGAGATACAGTTATACAATTTCTGGAGATTTCCATCAAGTTCACTTCATTTTGAAGTATGTGGTGAAGACGTTGTCTCGAAGGACAATCAAAGCTTCTCAATAAAGTCACCCAGCTTAGAGAAAATAACCACATCAAAATACTGAGGTAGGTACGTTTATGTGTCGTCGTAAAAGGTTCCCACCAAGATGTCTAGCCCCTTGAAGGATATCATATCTGTGAATGATCGTCAAGAGGCCCCTTGTAGTTCCTTTCAATCTCAGTTACCTCTGGTCACTATCGCACAAATAACACATTTTGGCAACTTTAAACACTAGTAACAAAATCCACAAGGAATGAATTCATTATTTTTTTTTAATAGCAGTATAGGTTTTCAGTTTCACCAAATAACTAAACAGAAATTCTTTTTTATTATGTCATTGGATAGGATAAATGAAACATGAAATAAAATATAAAATGTGAATACATTTATAAATCCCAGGGTCTATCTATCTATTATGCAGCAAGTTAGCTTACTAGACTGTGATTATCTATCTGGCTGCCAACAATTTCTGATTCGGGATTGTGTTCATACTTCGCCTTTTTACGATCAATTCCATTGTCAATATCTGAATCCCGTTTAGTGAACAAGCGTGTTCTTGCTAGCATATATGCACTGTAAATGAATAATAGATGAATAAAAGAACAGGCATTTATACATATATACATATTAATTTACGCTAAAAAGTCTGACAGAGAAAATTTACAAGTATTATGTATCATGTAAAACTGCCTTCAAAATATTTCCTTTCTATTCTTTCCTACACAACTGCTGATATGAAACAGTGCGTTTGTAACAATAAGTAAATGTATGGTATATAGTTTTAATTATAGTAATAATTTTACGCTACATCAAGATGTCTAGTAGACTTTGAACGCTTTTTTGTAAGCAGTTGCAGTGAGAAATTCTGTTGCAAGCTCCATGATGCGGTTAACACTTCAGTGTAAGCGAATTACTTACAAATATAGGGATAGGTATGCAGTTCTTATCAAATTATCGACCAGACAAGTTTAAACGACAAGAAAAGACGCACAACTATCTGAAGATTTTAAATATACTGTTCTATATAAGAATCATTCAAGAGTGAGATGAGTGATGTTCGGACGAAAAAGGCAATCTAAAAGAGAACAGAAGATACAGAAAACTGCATGTCGTAACAAAATTGTATAATTCTGTTTTGTAAACATAACCGTCAAAGCAGTGTGAGGCTGACGATTGTCTTCTGAGTAGATTGATTTCGATTTAGCTGCTTGCTCTAGCGAAACGTCATATTCTGGGTTTCTTTTGTCTGTTTATTATTTTGAATGACTTCAGGCTGACATAATACTTTTAGTGCCCATCAGGTGGAGTGCGATTATACTGTTAAATAAGGAGAGGAAATCAATCGACAGGGTTATGAAGTTACATCGATTGAGACAGATGGTTAGGACATGTGTTACGCATTCATCCCTAGCCATCGCCTTCCTCGACAATGGGCAATGTTAGCTGACATAGGATCAGGTTGCGGTCAAACTAAAACATGGCTACATCAGTCAATGAAATCCACAACAGTTAGTTTAAGCCAGTCACATAGGAAGGTATAGACTTCCTGTCTGGTTGGGGTCCTCTGGACGGTAAAAACCAATGAAGGCTGGAGACAATTGGTGATATAGCTCAAAATCGTTCTCAATGGCTGGCGCAGATGCATTCACTCTTTGTGATTTATAATATCCAATAAAATTCTGTTGTTCTTCCATATTACTATTCTTTTCGCGCCACATTTCTATTTACTATCTCTCTTTTGAATCTTTCTTTACTCTCTACTCTTCCTTTGTGTGCACGTCTGTGCAAAGTTCTATGTTGAAACCAGTCAATTAGTCAGGTTACGCTGTTTAACAGTTAAGTCCACTTTATTCTCAAGTTCTTTGGGATATATTCAGAAATGCGAACAGTAAACCTTCTTTTTGTCCTGTGATGATGAGAATACTTTGATGAGCAAACACTTCTCAGACATCAGTTTCCTCACTGGATTTGTTGGTCACCAACGCACGATGGTTCCGACTATTTTATACAATATACTTAAAGAATTTGACACTACACAAAAGGATTGCATTAGTATTTTGTTATTTTCGACTGACTGGTTCAGAGAAGGCATAAAAAACTTATCAGCACACCATGAAATGCATAACTATCAAATACGTGAAGCGAGTAAATCTCACTGGAGAAAAATAAAACGATTTGGTTAGTATCATAATTAGTAATGCAGATAAATTTTGGTGAACGATAGCTAGTATCAGTCAGAATCCTCTCAATATAAACAACTATTCACTGTGAGTAATCTAGAAGGGATAATGCTAAGCTATCCAAATAGTTACTACACTCAATAAGGTAAATGATGGAGTTTGTCTGAATAACATTATTTGGAAAGCATGAGAAATAATTCAGAACTAGAAAAAGATATTCATAAGACATAAAGTCCAGGGTAATCAAACTTATTCAAGTGACATGATATGTACAACACCTGAGAAGAGTTTAAACCCTATTTGATAATTAAACACATGCCTGAAGAAAATGATTGATACCTTCGAAATCTATATGAGATACGTCGACGACACTTTGATTATTGTCAACAATGAAGAAAATCTAGACGACATCTTGAAGTCGTTTAGCAACTGCCATCCCGCGATTCAGTTCACGTTGGAGAAAGAGTTCAACTCCAAAATATCTTTTCTTGACGTCCAATTAACAAGACGATTTAATTTCTGCGCCTCATTACCACTGTTACTGACTTAACCAACGTTCAATTTCTAGTCATTTATGTTACGTCAACCAACTTATTTGCTCAACTTTAGTTCCAATTTAAATGGCGTTATTCTCTACCCCACTTCTACTTAGTCTCTACTTGTAATTACCTATGTTGCTACCCTGACTTAAGTTGAAACATTTTAGTCAATTATATTACGTCATCTAACTTACTAACTCAATCTTATTTTAGTTGCTGTCTAATTAACCTTGTTTCTATATTAGATCATTCTTGTATTACCTGATTAATTATCTAAAGTTTACAAACCTCATGTACACACACACACACACACATAAATAATTATATATAAATGCGATTGTACAGCTATGTGAATGAATTCGCCGAAAAGAGTTTCTTTGCTGAACGTCTTCTCTTTTTAATATGACTGAATGGGAATTTGTAAGCTGATAATTAATTGTTGAAGTTATTATGAGGTAGATTCATCAAGTAATACTCAGAGGCAGATTCTTTCATTGGACACCATTAACTAATGTGATGTCTCTGACTGCAGCACTGGGTAACGTAGGTTCGAATCTCAAAAGGGACATGAATTCCTTCAAGGTTGCAAATACGCCTTACTGACTGGTGAATGCCAATTATCACGAAACCTAATTGGAAGGCTTCTTGTGGCTGATTGCCTCCAACTATCTAACACCAACAATTCAGAGTTAGATTATCATTTACATGCAATATTATTTCAACGGTAAAAAAGTTGAACACAATTCACATTCCTGGTAAACTAATGATTAACTAAAGAGATTGCTTATTAATTATAAATTTTTTAAAAAAAACAATTACCCACCTCCATAAAATACACAAAGTTGATGTTGCTTTCACTGCTGTTAATACAAAAACAAATTAGCACATGAAGTGTAAATAAGTAAATTAAAACAATTAACTAAGTTTATATAACATCAATTCAATGAAAAACAGAAGAAATGTTCATGAATTTAAAAAATATTAATAGCTTCAATATATATATATATATATATATATATATATATATATATGAGACAAGAATCTCAATTAAAATTATCCACAGACTAAAACAAAATGTACTCAGTGAGAATGATTTTCAAGCTAAGGTGTTTATTTAAATCAATATTTATTTCCAACTGCAAAAGCTTAATTCTCGCTGATTGGACACTAACTAGTGTCATGCATCAAGTCCTCTGTTTGGTGTGGACTGATGGAATTCAGAGTAGATACGCCTTGTTGACTGGGGCGCGGCAACTAGCAGGAACACTTAGGTCCAAGGCTTCCAGACGATTACCTCCAATCATCTAATAACAATTTAATCTCTCTTCATTATAGTAAGTACGAATTTAGGGTTTTCAACACAGCCTGACACCGTGATGAACTTGAAATAACAGTGAAGAACAAGAGAGTCCCTCCCTGCTTTGTTTTGCTTAGATATGAACGAATAACTTGTTACTTAATTCACATATGACGCAATGACGTGATTTGTTTTTCCTTGTAAGTGACCTTTAACACATTTCTTATTACAGTACCGTAACCACTGGATACATAGGTCATAATACATTGTTAAGAACACAATATTCAGTGAAGAGACTCTTTCCAACGAATTTATTATGAAGCTGTACAATCGTATACATAATAATAGTTAATAATGAAATGGTGTTTTTCTTTAAATACAAACAATCATACCATATGATGCAACAGTGATTTACTCAAATATAAATGCAAACAGGATGTGACTGCCAATAACTGTAGAGAAAATTTGTAATTAGTTGTATAAATGCTTTCACAAAATGTGAAAAACACAACTTCAGATTGCAAATGTTAGGGTAGTTTCTAGTTGCCATCACAACTTGGTTATTCAAAGACAAAATCTTTGAGAAATCATCAGTAATGACTAACTGAGTTTTCAGGGTGGAACTTCATATAGAAGTGTAGCAATTCAAGTTGCCACACTTCATATAGTATACAAAGGGATTATAGTGAATGGAAATGTAAGGGGGCAATAATAAGTATTTGGAGAATAATGAGAATTTGACCGACTTAGGAGTTCATAAAAAGTGAATACATCTCGTTCATTGAGAATGATTTTGAACCACGTTACCAATAGTCTCCAGTATCTCGATGATCCCAAACAAGCAGATTACACCGTCCTACGTCATCCAAACCAATCGTTGAAGAATTTATAGATTGGTGCTTGCTTTTATTTGGTCACACACTACTCTTTTCCAACCCAATCCTATCACCAGTTAACATTGCTGGACGGAGAAGGCGATAACTTGGCATACGTCATACGTGTTGCAGCCATTTTCATTGATACACCTTGGTGGTAATCACATTGACTGGCTTGCCCTACTTACCTAACTCTCTACACCTAACCTCAAAGAAGAGCAAAGATCTGTGGTCAAAGATAGCTTCCATTTTCAACTGCCACGTCTCACAGCAATAAAGGAGGAGATAATGAACTGTTGAGCAGTACACACTTCCTATGATCGATAGCCAAACAGACATTAAGCAAGTTGATAAATGCCACACAAACGCCTTTGGTATCCGCACTGCGATTTCCTAATCAATCAGTTCATTAGGACTGATGCCACTTCCTAAATAAGTGAAGTGGTCAACACCCTTAACTACTATTTCTCTCCTTATCTTTAGATTAGGCATCAACAAATTATCAGCAATACACAAGTATTGTAAAGCTGATGTGAAATTATAATCTGAAATTGAGATACAGCTCCCTCCTGTAAACTTCTGTGCAAAGGTAATAAATAACTTTTTCTGTATCTGCTAACACGTCATGTCTAGTACTGAACCCTAAGTTATACAAAAAAAAATAAGTAACCCAGCCTACTCTACTGTATGTGAAAGCCGTTACATCACACAATAACATTCATTTTGGATTTATTTTAAAGTGTTTTAAAATACAGCTTTATTTGCATCAAAATAACTAACCGAATACACATGTTTGTGTAAATGATCCAATATCAAAGAAATATATATACGTTGACATAATATTGTAATAAAGATCCACATTAAAAAAGAGAAAACAATCTCATTGAAAACAAGTCATCTCTCTGTAAAATAGCCACAGCACCATAAGTATTGTATGTTTCAACTGAACATGAATCAAAGTAAAACGTGTTAGCTTTTTTCAAGGCTACACGATAGTGATTGGTCAACTTAGAAACTACGAATTAACATGCACTAAGCACAAAACTATCAGCACATTCATATATGATTTTAGGCCATCCAATCATAATTTAATATATTAGTTAGTGTTTAATACAAACTCATGCAATGATATTCATACAATAATGAACATAAAAAATATTGGAAACAAATTACAGTTATAAATATAAGAACAACAAAGTTCAGCGAAGAGTCAGTCTCTTCTCGGCGAATTCATTCACTCAGCTGTACAATCGCATTTATATATATATATATATATATATATATATATGTATATATAAGCTTCCGTATACTTTGTATTGCCGGGACCTTAGCGATCCGAATAGAAAACCCTGATTTATGCACACAGAAGAAACTTCTCTACCCCCTCCTTCTACCTTGGGTATAACTCCAAGTTCTACGACTTTGTCAATGTTTTGTTCTCTTTTTTGCTTTTTGTATGGCATCTTAGTAACATATGCTTAACCAAACCTTTATTTACTCTTTCTACCTATTACGTAGTTTATTCTTTGGGCACGTGTCACCATTAACACCCTATTTCATATTACGCAACCCTTGTCAATACTTACCAAACTTCACCCCCCAACCCCTAGTTACAATTTTGATTATTCATCACATTTTAAAAACATTTTGATGACGTAAACAGTAACCCTAACTAATTTTTATTTGACAATCCTAATGTACACACAAAATAATTAAATATAAATGCGATTGTACAGCGATTCTTCGCTGAACTTTGTTGTTCTTATATTCATGTCTGGATGGGTATTTTCCGTGAATTAAAATTACAGTTAGTCTCTTGCAGAGTGATGCTATTTCTGTTAGTACTATTGTGGATTTCTTGATTGGGATATCTATTTGAACATTCAGTTTATTTCGCATTTTCATGATTTAACATACTGTTTCTTGCTGAGTAAGTATGTCAAGGAAGTGTTCCCAAAAACATCAGAGAAGACATGTTCAGTAGTACTTTCAAACTTAAACTATGTATATGTTCAAAAACTAAAATGCTCCTAAATCTAGTTTGATTGAACTATGTGGAGATTGTACACATCGATCACATTTTACTGTAATGTAACTAAAGAACTTAGTAGTAAGTAATTTCGTACAAGATATATTTATTTCAAAGATTATACAGTGATAGGGAATCTTTGACAACTTACTGTTAATAGTCATACCTACATAGCAACATAAATGTCAACATTTCAGACCTATAGATAAATTACTTTATGAATTTGACTACTTGACTGCTCCCTACTACTGACGACTAACAGGATAACTGATGAAATCTACTCAACCTTACACAGAAACCAGTAAATATTCATTAAATGATCTGATTGGGAAATAGGTATACGATATGCTTACTTAATATTCACAAGTTTATCGATTATTGCTGTAATTTTATTAGAAGTAAGATGCGATAGTTACAGTTGGATCACACTAACATGTTGGAAGTCAAATAGTCCAGTGTTGTTACAATAGTTTTAGAAAAAATACTGAGGTAAAAGTGTCAGCAGGTGTATTTATAAACACTGACATGCTCAGATACTTTATACATTCGGTCACAGTGTGAACGTCGATAAGCAATATTCGAAAAAGAATGAAAAATAACGAAAAAGATGTGTACCATGTTGCAACACCAATCTGTATATTTATTCATTGTAAACTGATTTTTGAGGACACAGTATAACAGTAATCAGTGAAGTAATATATAAATTTCCACAGAATAAAGCGATTTTCAGCGGCATAATTTCATTTCTTTCTTTCTTTCTTTTTCCTTACGTAAGTTACTCCAATCTAAACTCTCATTTCTTAAGCTTCTGATGAATCAACAGCTTTCAGGTTATACTCATGACTACAGTATCTTTTCAGTCTATCTATGCAACTATGTTTCGTTTCATCCAGTAACTGCGATAAAATGTTGATCACAAAAATCTATACCGCATGTAAAAAACAAATAACGCATTCAAACTAATTAGTACTCCAAAAACCTTCGCACTTCATTTTACAAGAATGATACCGTACTACTTTCAAGTAGCCTGATTAATTTTTCGCAAAACATATTTTCAAGTTATCACAGGCAAACTGAAACAATTGCATCCTCCTTTACAGAATTTAAATAAATCTTTGAAGAATTAAATAAGGTAGTTTGGTTTAGCAATACACAGTGTCGAAGTCAATTTACTTTGAAGAGGGAAATCTACACGAAAAGATTTTAGTTAAGAAGTTACGATCTGATAAAATACTGTTGAGTATGTAGTTATGCACTTACCAGTCATAAGACTAGGCATGTGTGAAATGCCTAGATTTCCGATATGCTCTGTAAAACAAAAGCAATAATTAAAAAAAGACTGTTAGTCAACAGAACTCCAAACTTCACGGTAGGGTAAGAATGCTAACAAGAAACTAGTGCTCTACGTAGTTGTCTTTTTTTGTATAGCTTGACTCCATTCCCATCAAGGGTTCTTAATCCTTAATAATGTATGAGAAACAAGTGGAGTCTTCAGTAGAATATTTGCATTTAGCGCACTGTTTTTGCACATAATGCACATTGGTAAAATTTCGCACCTCTTTTCATAAAACTTGATTCTGACAACATGTAGAAAGTAACATTCGACTGTTTTCTAAAGACTTGGCTTTCATCGGCCCTAAGCTGCTTTGTGCCACATCTGTAAAGCCTTCAATAAACTGTATTATGAATTCACAGAAACAAAACTATTGAGAAGAATCACTGTACTTATTTGTGAAGTGCCACGTAACCTTTCACTGCCGTTATTTTGGGAGCAAAGACAGGGGGGAAGAATACTTTTCATGGGAATGGCTAGGATGATGGAATTTACCAGAATTTGGGATTAACAGACTATTGGTGCAGCTCCCAGTGACCGAATGGTCGACGAGCCAGCCTTGTAACCGGAAGGTCCTGAGTTCAAACCCCAGTAGGTGGGTACTGTTGAAAAGTCCCAAACTAGGGCGAAACAGCCACCCAGTGCTCCAAGTTTCCCACTGGTTCTCTAAATGATGCCAGCTCGTGGTCAGTCTTCATATATATATTTATAATACGATCCCTATTTATATATTGAAATGTTTTAAGACATTAAAGTTGCCTATTTTGACTCTAAACTCTGAACGGTTTTAAAAGCATAGTATACTTGGAATGATTCAGTACTAATCGCATTAGTAAAATCCTATTCTGAGGCTGAAAGATCAGAATTGCTGAAATTCTTCGAATAACATTTCACGTATTGAACTTTAGGTGAGTATGTAAAGTCTTTTGGTTATTTGACTAATTAGTGGAGCTTTCGACAATTCGATACAAACGAATAGATAATAAATAATACGCAATAAATATGTGAAAATAGGTCAAGTTTAAACTTCCTAACAATGCAAAAAAGTATCCTTACAGCTCTAATTTTTGCTACTTATCTCGAATGCTTGATAGGCGAACTTGCAACTATCTGTAGTGACTATAACTAACTAACTAATTTGCTAACATTCATTGAATACACACAAGTTATTAGTGGCACTTACAAAAGGATGTGTTTCTATGGTGTTCATAACTAACACAATGGAGACTTAATGATCTTACTACTCACGTAATATATAAGGCCAGCAAAACAACGAGAAAAGAAATAAAATGGAGAACATTTGTTCTTAGAAAGTATACAATTGCAATAAACAATAGTGTATAAAGAGGTCACGTGAACTATGATATATTTCTTCAGTTACTTCAATCACAAGCATCAGGCAGATAGAAATGAGAAGACTATAAAATGCATTTATTTTTATTTTTACATTAAGAAAATAACACAAAACATCTTAATTCGTTCATGTTGTAATCCAAAAAAAGGAATTACGTTTCCATTGGTTGAATGTAGAACTGATCGAATTGAGCAGTCATTTGAACAGCTTGTGAATATAATTCACAATCAAACTTTGAGCTGGCTTCTTGTGAAAAAACGACCGGTTCTGCTGTAGCATTGATTTCATTGCCTTGTACATTACTTACGCGGCCCTGAACTTCAACAATTCGATTCTCTGGTGAAGTCTATGAAAAGAAAGAAAAGTCTGAAAATGACTTTGTACTGGATCTTGTTTATGAGATCAAGAAGTTATTGTTTTTTAAAAATGTTGTCGTTTAAATCATACAACAAACATGGAGGTATCTATTTTAGACCCTAACAGAAGAAAACCAGTAGCCAGAGTTGAAAAATGACTTTCCATATTAGTTTGTTTATTAGATGTATCACACAGTGAGTGAAACAGTATTATTATTTACTGGATGACGTTTCGAACAAAATTTATTGTTCATAATCATATCAATTATAATCACACGACTTCGAAACTTGAGTTTTATAGTTTTCTTTATTCTTTCCTATTTGTCGTAGGGGTAGTAGAATTTTCCAGATACCTGGGACAGATGTTGAATCATTCCTATTACACCTATTTGCAGTTGATTCGATAAACGAAGCTTCCGTTATCAATCTCTCCCTCCACCCTGTTACATTAGATTTTAAAACTGTCAGCCTATCCCATCCTATTGTATGGTTGTGTGTAATTGCATGTAGTGAGTGCTATAGCTGAACTATTCTCTAGACTTCTTGTCTTATTCGGGTCAACTAATCTAGATTTTGCTAGGTTTTATGCTCGGCTAGTCTGATTACCCTTGTTCTACTACTTTGACCTATGTATTTGATCTGACAACCATTGCAGTGTATTAGATTGTCAGATCAAATACATAGGTCAAAGTAGTAGAACAAGGGTAATCAGACTAGCCGAGCATAAAACCTAGCAAAATCTAGATTAGTTGACCCGAATAAGACAAGAAGTCTAGAGAATAGTTCAGCTATAGCACTCACTACATGCAATTACACACAACCATACAATAGGATGGGATAAGGTGACAGTTTTAAAATCTAATGTAACAGGGTGGAGGGAGAGATTGACAACAGGAGCTTTGTTTATCGAATCAACTGCAAATAGGTGTAATAGGAATGATTCAACATCTGTCCCAGGTATCTGGAAAATTCTACTACCCCTACGACAAATAGGAAAGAATAAAGAAAACTATAAAACTCAAGTTTCGAAGTCGTGTGATTATAATTGATATGATTATGAACAATAAATTTTGTTCGAAACGTCATCCAGTAAATAATAATACTGTTTCACTCACTGTGTGATACATCTAATAAACAAATTAATATGGAATTACTTACTACCACAGTGCCCAAGTTTTACACATATGAAAAACGACTTTGACTGCAAATCAATAAACTATATAATACGAAAGTGATTGATATACTTTTCTCCTTTTCATCTTGAACTATGTTTAAATAGCCTTTGATTACAAAAAAGGGAAAACGACAGATAACTTCCGATCTTATAGTATAATATACTGATATGAATAAATAAACCTGTTTAACCTACTTAGAATACAGAGAAAAATGAGTGCTTCTGATAACTTATCTAAAACGTTACTACTCTCTGAGTACATAAACTTGTCCTTATGTGATTACCTTCTTTTACACCAAAAAGCACCTAAAATACAGTGACATACTACTGTCTAATCTGCTTACGACTAGTTACTTCCACGACAAAGATCATAGATTCACTGAAGAAATCAGGGAATGATGTGACTTCAACTAATACTAATTAATTTTTAATCAATGAATACTGTCAAATTTTAAATCTTGTTTGTCGTATGTTTTTTAATAAGACGTGAACCCTTTCACAGATTTACTGAGAATAAACTTAACAAATGACTCCATTAAAAATACAACAAACCTAATTCCACAGCACTAGTTTATGTTCTGCTTTGTTCGTTTATGATACAAGAATAAAAATTGCACAAACAAACGTTTCTGTGAGGAATTTAAAGAAAAATTATGTCGTACAAAGATAGAATATACTCAGTGTAAGTAAATTACGTGACTCTCTTAAAATGGACGAAAGTTTAAGAGCTCCTCTGACAATATTCGCCCGTCAATAAGACCGAAAAGATGTAGCGTGCATATATAAAAATCCTATACGGCAGAGCACAAAAGTATATTATTATCATACGAAGCAATTAACCAGTGATATAATGTCATGAGTTGTCTATGCATCAATTATTGAATTGCGTCAAAATGTAGTGTTTATATTTTTCTTTGATATGAACTGTCAAGGAGTATAACCAGTTAAAAGTAAAAAAAAACAACAACAAATAAATGTCATCAGTATCATAAATTTCTAAATAAACAACTTTTATGTGGCAGTGATGTATACCTGAAGCGGAGAAATAAGATTACAATCGATTTCTTTTCCATCTACACAGCGTATATGGATTCGTTGACCTGAAGGGGCGACACGTAAGACAGTTCCTAATACACATACATCGCGGCCAACCAAGTTCGGAAGCATTGAACCCGTAACCCGGAACCGGGCAGTTGGCTTACGGTCGGTAGAATCCTGAAAAGGAACACTGGGTTACCACTAATGAAATTTAGCTGGTAATCAAAATACAGGAGTAAGGCATTAACTATATTTCAAAAAATCTGGGGTACATTGGTAAAACTATATTGCGAAACCAAGTTTTCGTAAGCATTCTTTGTGTTCTTTGATCAAATCCACACACATCTCTTCACCGTACATCAAAATACATTGGTCACGCTTCAGACGTGTATCTGGACATGCGCAACATGGTTTTAACGGTTTTCCTTGGTCATCCAGAGGAACACTGGGAGTAGAGGACTTGGGCGGTTTGGGCGAACTTGATGACATAATTTGACGATACCTGTACAAATTTAAAACCAAGTCATTATCAAACAGAAAGCATAACAAATAATTTTAAAATGTTTAAGGATGGTGCTTATGGACTTTTCGGTTCCAGTGAAGAGCATGAATGCTTTAAAAGTTAGTTTCCTATAAGCAGTATCCTACTTTTCAGTTAAAAGAGCATTTCAACCACATTGTTGACTTAATACCGAATACCAAATGCACCAACTTTAACGCTGGACAGCAAACGTTACTTGTAATGAAACACAAGCAAAACTGAACATAAAATTTGACTTTTATAGAAAACAAAAGTAATTAAAAAGAAACAAACATAAAAAGAAACTCTTCACTTTGAAAGATGATATGAATCTAGTGAGAAAAAACCGACACAAATAGTAACAGAAAAACTAATGACTACCTTTCAAAAAAGTATTGAGATTTTTTGTTGTTAGTAGGAAGTGGATACACTTACTCCTTACTCAACCCAGCAGTGGAAAATTATGGATTATACCATGTAGAAATGTGGCACATTGGCTTAAGCACTTGATTTTTAGTGGGTTCCGGCTTCAATTTCCTCTCCACCTACTTTATCCTATACAGCCAAGTAGCATCATCACCCTATACACGATAAATGTAGCTCATAAGCCAGTTAAAGGTGACTGATTTCTTAAAATGGATTATACCAAAATATCTCTGTGAAACATATTGTTTGAAGATGAATTATAGGTCCCCAATAAAAAAGAACCCTGTTAATCAATAAACGTAAGAATAAGTGACTCATGGATTGCAAATTATGTAAGACATGAATTCGGGGTAGTTTCATTTTATGAAGTGATTTTTTTATTTAGGTGTTTAGCATTAAATGGTAATCATTTATATACGATACTAATGAGCATGCTGACGTTAAGTACTGGACAGTGGTACAACACTCCAATCTCGCACCCTTAAAAACAGAAATAAAGCCAAGCTAACATATAACTATGGAATGAAGAAACAAGTATTCTTATGGGAACACTTGAAATATTGATGGCAGAGGTTAAGTCTGAGTTGTTGTTACCGACTTACAACCATTGTTTCTTAACTTTACAAGTGCATCAGTCCGACAAGTTACATTTCAAGCTATACTTCAAAACAACAGCAAGCAAACGACTACCATGTGATTTTTATGAAGGACGTTTCGAGGAAGATAAACCTAACAAACAGTCTATCTGCAGCTACATGTCTTAACTAAACTGTTGGATTTTACGGTAGCACATTGCTATTTAATCCAAAGTGGGTTGCATGGAGAGTAGACTAAGTGATCATCGCTTGGAGGTCAAGTGTCTACACCACTGATGCACTGCGACGGTGAAGTGTAGCAACATGCTAGAACTTAATTATACTCGTAACCGCTACGATTCCAAATGTCAACAGAATTATAGCTTATACAAGTAACTCAACAATATCCACTGGTTACTCGTTCGGTTGGCTTTTCAGCATAAAAGTATGTATCTTTAAGGTAGTGTTAACGTCCATCAATACCTCCACTGAAAATGCACGTTGATTAAGATCTGTGTATGAACTACAGCAGATTACAATTAGTTGACTTTTTAAGTAGCAGCTATGATGACTGTCTCTACACTGCACAGTAGTCTTCCGAAGCCACAGTTCTAAACATTAAACTAGTCCGCCTGCAATACCGTTAGGAGTTTTTCGTGATATCTGGCATCTTGTATTTTGATGTAACCTTATCGCCTTGAAGTACAATCTCAATTGTCACTTAATAACCACCAGTGGGACATGAGACAATACACGGCTCAAAGCAGGGTTTAACTTTGAGGAGAAATCCCTCCCTTAGGACGTGTTGTCTTTCATTTAATAAGTGACGAACTGGTGAAAATGATTATAAGAAATAAAGTGATGGTAACAGTATCTCTGATTCTTCATTATCGAGTACACAGACTGCTGCTGAGTGGTTACTAACACATCCCCAAGGAACGAACTCGCTTCTAGTCATGTATATGCAATATAAAGCGTTCAAACGGAATAAGCAACAAGTTTTACCCAAAGCATGAATTCTCCAGGATAAAAAAAAAGGAAAACTAGAGGACTGGACATCCACATACTATAAAACCACTTGTTGAGAAATCATTTCAAAAAGTACATCAGAAATATTGCAGGACGACCTTGAAGATTGTATTTTCAATGAACGTGCTGATAACTTCTCTTGCCTTCCAGTTTCTCCTGTATTAAACGACACTGCAGAATAGCACCGACAAACTCTCAGAATAACAGTGAAAATGCCAGTCGTATCACCGATCATGGGTGTGGTGTATGTTTTGCTTTCGCATATTGTTGCCAATCTGGGTTAACATTCCTCATATATATGGTTGTTCAAAAGGTAGGGAAGACTTAATTTTTCATTTTATTCGTTCAAATACTATTCTGCATCTGGTTGCACTGTAGTTCCACATGTAGCAGAAGATTATGAATGCCTTGCTCTTCTCTTCTGCATGAGAAAGCTAATAACCGAGGAATTACTTCACTAGATTCTCTACATTAAGTTCATTAGGGACAAATATAATTGTTCCGCTTCAGTGTTATGAGTTAGTTTGTGAACTGTTTAGGCCTTTACGGTAATGCATCTGGCATTGAGACTTCAGAGTGAATTCAGAAGTGTATGTTTTACTAAATCTTGTGCACTACGTCTATAGATTTGAATTTCGTCAATGGTCACCCAACAATTGCTGAAATGAAAAATAGCTATCTTGCAGTAATCTCTTCTCTTACTCAGAATTAGTTTTACGCTGTGCTTGTCTCGTCATATCTCATAAGTTTATTTTATCCCATAGCCTAAATTATAAGCCCAAACACATCTGATGAAATGTTTTTTGATTATTACCAACTAAATTTAATATTTTTCGAGTGTGGAATGTAACACATCGAACTGCTGCAATTCTTTGCTGAGCTCTGTGTTAAAACTCAGTCAATCAGCATTTGTAACTGCAGCTGCTTAGTGTCACAACTCACCGAAGAGTTACATTAATGCCGTTTCCTAAGGACTCGGTTCACTTTCCCAATTCCTTAAATTGTCCAGCTAAAGTGCACCGAAGGGGAAACCATGAAACAGAAGTCAGTAACACGGACATAATAAATGGTGTGATTATAAGTGAATGAGGTGAGTGATATTGTATCCCTGTAGTACGCCCATCTGAAATACATATCTTATGCATTACGTGTTTCCTAATTGTTTGTCTTCCTCATTGAAGATCATCATTCTTCGTAGACATTGTACTGAATATCGTCATACATAGCGTGTTCAGGCAGTCTTTCAATACATTTACTTGCACAACGTTGTTGTTGTGAAGCCTTGAGATTATTCACTTCGGACATTAGTACACTTAGTACGCTAATATTAGTGATACAATGACATGCAAGACTTGTACATGTTACTGTGAAGTTTGCCCGTTATAACATTTCCTCCGCAGTAAATACAATGCCTGTGATAACAATTCGTCATTATGTTTTCATAGCGTTGATACGTGTATATATATAGTGGAAAAAAGCTGAACTCTTTGCACTAGTTTACGAAAATACTTTCACCAAGTGCCGGTACTTCTGCTGAGTACGAAATGCTACTCATGGTCTATGAAATGCTTTCTACTGCATTCACAGCTAACTATCTGACTATTACTATATGGAGTAGTGAGACAGAAGGCGTATGAAGTTTAGTTGTTAATGACTCGACCAATAGCTCTTACTTGAAGTGATGGTCAGGCTTGCATATCGCAGTGACTCAAAAAGCTACACTGGCTGGAACTAATGTTCCCGCAGGTCCTACCATGCCAGAAAGGTTGTTAGGATACCGACTAGACTGAAAGCAGTAACTGACATCGCGTAAGAATTCTCTTTTACATTATGCTGGGGGTCTGTGGGAGAAGTCGTACTGCTGGGGGACAGAGATGTAATAGGAGTAAGGTGTTTTCCTCAAATGACCAGCATATCAACTATGCCGTATCTCCACTCTGGAGCGAGGGGGTTAGAAAAAGTCAACCTCGACAATTTAACATCCTGACTTACCCCACGGTGGTCCGTAACCGGCGGTAAGTTTACTGATACAGAATCAATCAAAGAACTCAGTTCATTCGAGGCCGTGTTAAGGGTCTTAAGCTGTTATCCCTTGGGCTCTGCGGTCACCCAATACTAACCCTGTTTCTGTTTCAGGTACCCGAAGACTCAATCAACTTCCGCGGTGTGTGCATCAAGAACGTAACAACCGACCACACACTGCCAGAAGCACACGGAACCTTCCTGGGAATCATTCTCCTTTACTCACATCACCTTCACCGACTTACTCCTTTACTGTAGTTAGTGCTATCCTCCAGGCTAATGAGACATATTTTCTTCACTCTGAGAGCCTTAGAAACACCCCCGACAGCCTTTCAAAGCTACGTCGCCAACTTCATATAGGAGCATTTAACGTCAGCACTCTCTGCTAAATCGAACAATAAGCACCACAGGCTGATGACCGATGGTAATTTTCGCGATGGGTGTCTTTTTCGGTAATAGTGGTGGTGGTGCTGCAATCTACCCTCTGTACTGGCAGATGTGTAGCCTGCTTAAAGGTATCCAATTGAGTCGAACTAGATGATAGTAAATCTGCCTGTGTATTGCAACAATTTTCGTACAAATTCATCCAATAAGAGCTAAATATGCACTCAAAATCACGTCAACTGCATTTACCTGGACAACTGGCCCCAACTCGAATCAACTAGACCGCTTAAATGCCATCAAGGTGAAACAGGTGGCGCCACTTCAAATAGGGGATATGTCATATAATCGCTCCACTACAATGGCCTAGAAACAGACTTCAGCTTTGGTTGCTTGAGCAGGACATCTCCACTTTGTCCTGTTTTTTGAGGTCCTCATTAGCTGGTCTCACTATTGCCAATATTCTTGTAAAGTTTTGGTATTGCTTTTGATTAGGTACACTTTACCACCCGTTGACGTAATTTATTTATATTCCCAATAATTCAGTACTCTACCTCACCTGTGAGTACTGACGACAAAAGCAAATTAAAACGACTTGATTATTGTAGAAAAGAGCTCACTGCGCCGTATATTTCAGTGAAATAAAAGGTAAAGGTTAATCAAGGAAGGTCTATAACATATTTAACAGGTATGGTTTTATTTTAAAGGGAAAAGAATGGAATAGCGTTGGCGCAAGTTCGTGTGTGTACCAATAAAAGCAAAGCCTGTCACATTGGAATGTGCACCACAGCATCCAACACCCTCCATTTCATCCTTCGACGCCCAACTCGTCTACCACTTAGGTTCTACCGGGGGATCTGCTTGGCGAGTTATGTCATCCGACTGTCTCCTCAGTGTGCGCCCAGCCCATCTTTATTTCCTTCTACATATATGTTAGGCTATAGGTTCTTGGTTGGTTTGTTCTTAGAGATTTTGTTGCTAATTCCTTTCTGGTCATTTCATTTTCATTTTGGAGCGAAGCTAGATGAATTATCTTTTGTAGCAACATCTCTCCTTTCCACTGAAGAAACGATCATTGAAAGGAGTTGTGATACGACACTGGTGTGTAAATCCCCGGTGGAGAATGGTATGTTTATGGAAGCTGTATATAGTATTAACCAGCCTGATGCCTGTAACATACAGGAGTTGCTGAAAACTTCTTGCACACTGGCTCGGGAAATACTGTCGCAGTCCATAAATTCACCTTCTGCAGTAGTATATTGAATCGCTTAATACTTTACTGAAGTTTGTAGCGGCAAGTAATTACCCACAGTTACTAGCATACAGAATCCTTCACTCGGCGTTGGATTCTGGCTCTCACTGTCCAAGTCGACCGATAAAGTTGAAGGTTTGCGGTCAGGCATCCACGCCATCTGTCAGGCTGTCTCATTGCTCTTGGTCGTCCAATGACGAGCCTTAGCTAGCTAAGCAGCCATCACAGCACTCCGATTCTGATCCCGAAATATATCTAGCGTGTCGGGCGATCAACTTCGTACTTTGATTTGTCTTTGGTTTAGGCAGAACAAATGCAGTGGGAGTTTGAGTATAAGGACTTGTGTTGTATACATAATACTTTGCGTAAACGTCACCATCCTTCCATCTCGTAAGCTGGTGGGCCCGCATATGAACATACATAGTTCACCCTAAACTGATGAAATTCGGCTAGTCTGGCTAACAATTAGACAGCATTCGCTCTATCCAGGTAGCCTCGTTACGTGTCGTATGCTTGCTACTATGAGCCATCAGATACCCAGTCTTATACATACCCGACCGACTATTATACCTACGAAACTTGTGTGGCAGGGGTCATCGACATACAGTAGAGCTCACCACACAAGCTGTCAACACTGAAGTGATGAATTCCGAATATCCGCCTCAAATATATTTAGCCGGGAAAGATTTTGCTGAAGGATGTGTAGGTGTGGTCTCTCACGAAAAGCTAAACGAAACAACCGCACAAGATGTATGGCCTAAGAGGTACGGGAGGACAAATCTGCCGCAACACCATAAAGGCTAACGACAGAAAACACGAACTCTCGAGTAGGCCTTTCACATTCCAGAGTGAGAAATCAAAAAATGCAGAGCTGAAGAGAAGGTCTAAACATGACGTTGGTCCAGTCAAACCAATTACAGGAAAGCCACTCCACACTGCAGTAGAGGGTATGGGAGTCCGCAGTAAGTGAAAAATCAGCCCAAAGCTGACTCCGCAGGAGGCAAGCTGTCTCTACAACTAAAAATGTCAGTCAGAGGCAGTTAATGACTGAGGAATACAGAAAGACAAGAGGGGTAACCAAGAAGGTATCGCACTGTTCTTTGCGATTCGTAAGGGTATCATTCTCCACTGAACGACACTGAATGATGATTGCTCATCCGTGTGTCTGACTAGATTAGCCCACCCCATTAGGCCACAGGCAAGCTTTCGAAATATGCCCCTAAACTTAATGGCTGACTTCTGTAGCTATCGGCACTATTGGTCGCAAATTTCGGTTGCTGTTTTGGTGAAGGAGTCGGTTTCCCAGTCAGTGAGTTCGGTCAGTCCACAATACGCTCTCTATTTCATTACAGTTAACTACGATTAATTTGTCGGATGTTTTTATTTCCATGTGCTTTTGAGT